CCCCAGGATGGTCCAGTTGACCCAACCAACCCCCATCATGGGACCAAGGAGCCCCTGAAGGGCTTGGATGAGGAGCTGGGATGGGGTGGGGGAGATGATGGAGCTTCAATTTTGGGGTCTGCCCCCCCCCAAGATGGCCCCGTTGACCCAACCAACCCCCATCATGGGACCAAGGAGCCCCTGAAGGGCTTGGATGAGGAGCTGGGATGGGGTGGGGGAGATGATGGAGCTTCAATTTGGGGGTCTGACCCCCCCCAAGATGGCCCCGTTGACCCAACCAACCCCCATCATGGGACCAAGGAGCCCCTGAAGGGCTTGGATGAGGAGCTGGGATGGGGTGGGGGAGATGATGGAGCTTCAATTTGGGGGTCTGACCCCCCCCAAGATGGCCCCGTTGACCCAACCAACCCCCATCATGGGACCAAGGAGCCCCTGAAGGGCTTGGATGAGGAGCTGGGATGGGGTGGGGGAGATGATGGAGCTTCAATTTGGGGGTCTGACCCCCCCCAAGATGGCCCCGTTGACCCAACCAACCCCCATCATGGGACCAAGGAGCCCCTGAAGGGCTTGGATGAGGAGCTGGGATGGGGTGGGGGAGATGATGGAGCTTCAATTTGGGGGTCTGACCCCCCCCAAGATGGCCCCGTTGACCCAACCAACCCCCATCATGGGACCAAGGAGCCCCTGAAGGGCTTGGATGAGGAGCTGGGATGGGGTGGGGGAGATGATGGAGCTTCAATTTGGGGGTCTGACCCCCCCCAAGATGGCCCCGTTGACCCAACCAACCATCACCATGAGGACCAAGGAGCCCCTGAAGGGCTTGGATGGGGGGGGTGGGGGAGATGATGGAGCTTCAATTTTGGGGTCAACGTGAGCCCCCCAAGATGGCCCAGTTGCCCCAACCAACCATCACCATGAGGACTAAGGAGCCCCTGAAGGGCTTGGATGGGGGGGGTGGGGGAGATGATGGAGCTTCAATTTGGGGGTCACCCTGAGCCCCCCAAGATGGCCCAGTTGACCCAACCAACCATCACCTTGGGACCAAGGTGCTCCAGTTTTGGGGGGTCTCACCACCCTGACCCCCCCCAAGATGGCCCAGTTGACCCAACCAACCATCACC